TGCTAGCTCCATAGTGCTTTGGTTTAACAGTGGGCTGCTGAGCTTATATTTCTATGTAATAGCTTGTTGTTTATGTTGCCTCATAAAAGGAAAATGTTTTCATTTACATGAGGTGTACAAGGAGGTAGTGGAATCTCTTATAGTTCCTCTGCTTCAGGGAGGGGGGAAGAGGAAAAAGAAATGCTACAATACAGTTAGTGGTGAATTTAATTTTGATGAATGAAATGGATTTAAAGGCTTTGATATTTCTCTGCTTTCAGTTTCATTTTGTAATAGTTGATTATGCTGCTGTTGCCATGCGGCTTTCTGCCATTACTCAAGAAGACTGGAATTTTTATTTTTAAATTGGGGATTCTACAAAAGGAAGCAGGGTAAAGGAATGACATCAGATATCAGCAAGCAATTCATAATGATTTAGTATCTAAGAGACATTTCAGCAAACTGGTGTGCTGTTGCCCATTTTACTGATAACACTGGTTTTGTTCTTTTGTAAAGGGAAATCAGATTCTCAGCAGCCTTTCCATTGAAGAATACAAGGCCACACTGAAAATGATAAAACAAGCCATTCTTGCCACGGACCTAGCACTATACATAAAGTAAGTGAGGCGCTAGTTTGGCTGGATAGTCATTGCTGGATGTTTGGATTGTGTCAGTATGCTGCAAAATCTTTTGTTTTAACTTCTCTTAAAGGAGGAGAGGAGAATTTTTTGAACTTATAAGGAAGAAGCAATTTAATTGGGAAGATCCTACACAGAAGGAACTATTTTTGTAAGTAAAAGCAGAATGATTAACAAGTCTGTTAATATTATTAGGTACCCAGTTTTCCATGCCATGTTGCTGTGAATTTCATTAAAACCAGCAGATCTGTGTGCTCTCAGCCTGTACAGACTGGTACATAGGCCACTGAATGACTCCCTGGGTCTGAATTACTAAGTCTGCAACCTGTATAATAAACTTTGTTAAGCAGCATGTGGAGTTACATGAGCATTTATGTTCTTTCTAAAGAATGTAGGGTTCCTGTCTAAGGAGCATATTCTTTTGCTGTTGATACTTTATACTCAAATATTGAATTGCCAGTAACTGAAGATTCAGGACAGTCAGTTTGTTTTGATTACAGTGAAGGAAACAAAAGATTAAGAATAAAGACACATATTGTAATGCACAAATACAGAAAAGCAGGCTTACATAGGCTATCTCAGAAAGGAAGGATGCCATATTTCAAATTCAGTGCCTTTAAAAATTAGTCTAATTTAGTCGTGTTCTGTCTATTTCTAGTTCAGTCCTTGGCCCTCATGCTGTCAATAAAGATGGCAGTCACTGCTAATATCTGAAATAAATAAATGTATTGTCTGTCCAGTAGCAAATAGAACGAAACAGTTCATTTGACATGAATCCATCAAATGAGCCAGTCCAGATTTGCTCATTTCTGTGTGCTCATTTCACACAGGTGGAAGTTTACCATATCATTGAGCCCTGGAGACCTTTATAATTTCACTTCTTTCTCTGACACTGATGTTCCTTAAAATTTTATACTCTATTTTACTAATCACTTGAGTTGGTTGCTACATATATTTCACAATACAGTAATTAATAGATTTCTTTCTGTTTTTTCTACAGAGCAATGCTGATGACTGCTTGTGATTTATCAGCCATAAGCAAACCATGGCCAGTTCAGCAACGGGTATATGCTTAATTTTAAGATTTGCTAAATACAAACTCCACGTAACATCTTCTGCTTCCTCCATCCAGTCCTTTTTGTAAAGACAGTGGTGGAATGCAGAGCCTTAGGAAGCAGTCCTTCAAAGTGCTGTATGTGGATTGAAGACTTTCTTGTGTCTCTGTAGCAATATCTGTGCATTTAGCTATGTCACCATGTTAGCAGTTATCTGAAGGTAAATCAGGAATCTTTGTTCTTTCCAACATTTCTGTGTTACTACAAGGTAGTCACTTGATACAACACAGGAGTATCAGCTGGCCTTTTTCTATGTGTTGATCATTCCAACTATTATCAGTGGTAAGATGCCTATGTGCCATTTTATTCACTTGGGTAAATATCAGCACATGCAGATATTTTGTTTGTGCACAGATGTGTGCATGAAGAATTCTAAAGGCTAGCTGTTAAGCTGAAGTCTTATTATAGGGGGGTCCCAATTCCTAAGGAGAGACAGGAAACATAGGAAACAGTCTTGATTGTAGGTAGCAAGCAAACTTTTAGAGGTCTCAATGTGTGAAATCTCTTACAGATTGCTGAGCTTGTAGCTACTGAGTTCTTTGATCAAGGAGATAAAGAGCGGAAGGAACTCAACATAGAACCAACAGTAAGTGGCCGAATCATGCAGAATCACCTCTTCCAAAATGGCTTCTACAAACAGCACTTCACATTCCTTGCCAAAGCCACAATTCCTCCCACTGACCAAAACATAGGACCAACTCCTTCCCTGTCTTCCCAGTGTCAGTTTTCTTCTGCAGTTCCCAAACACCAACAGTGTGTCATTATCTCTGAGCCAGAAGAACAAACAGCATTATTTCTTCTAAATCAGTATTACTAAATTGTCTAGGAAATACATTCCTAAATTGGTACCTATTTGCAGCCTGTCCTAAACCAGTAAGCTTGTCTATTTGTCTAGTTATTTGGGCTCTGTCAGTCCAAAGAATCTCCTAAGGCAAGTCATACAGTAAAATTACCTGCATTGTAACACATGCACTGATACCCTGCTGTGCTGAGCTTGCTGTGCTTTTTAAGGTGTTGCTTTTTAATTCCAGCCTGTCTCTTTGGTTTTGGTTCATTTTTTAATTTAATGCAGAGCTTGTTTATTTCTTAACTGCAGGATCTAATGAACAGAGAGAAGAAAAATAAAATTCCCAGCATGCAGGTTGGATTCATAGATGCTGTTTGCTTGCAGCTGTATGAGGTATGGTGCCTAAGAAAGAATTGCAAATACCTAAAACCGGAACTGCTTGCTGTAGCCTCTAATAGATGCAGATTTAAAATTAGAATAACGATCAAATAAAAAACTATTCCCTTAGTTTAAAAAGATATATTTTTTTGTTATATATTACATATGGTTCATTATTCTTTTGAGGAAATTATTATTTTAGTATTTATCATTAATGGTATGTTTGTCTGATTAATGTATTTTGTTACAATTTTTTAAAACCTAGTTAAAATTGCTGTGCTCTATGTACTTGGTGTTAGACCCTTGGGTTATATTCTAGATTCCAGTAGCTCCAGTGAGCTGCTATGACCATCAGGGAAAGTCACAAAACTAATCTTTGGCTATCTAGGAAAAGAATGGTATCCATGTAGTGCATTGATAAAAAGTGTTTAAGAGTTCAGAATGTTCAGTGAGAAATCAGAATTATTCATGTAAAAGGTGATATGCTATGTATAGGCACTTAACCCAAGTTTAGCATTTCCTGTCCCATTTTTTTTCTTTTTTTTTCATCACACATAAAAGCAGTGCATGAGAGAATTCATTGAAGTGTTTTCCATCCTGGTCACAAACTGTATAAGCAGATACTTGGTCAGATATAATATGAAACAAAACATAAAATTTTCAAAACCAGTAAAGCACTAGAGTGAAAGCCTGTTCATTGGGACTATAGGAAGTATTTTACAGATAATGAGGTGAGAAAAAGAAAAGGTAAGGAACGGGTAACTTCACTCTTAAGAATATTTCAAAGGGAGGAACAAGGCGCTTAAATTTTTCCCTCTTACACAGTAAACTTTTCTAATAAGAATCCATATCCACCAGCTGGAAGGAAACAAAGACAGAGGAAGCAGAAGGAAGTCACTATGTGCTTTCCCTGAAACTCGCATGTTTCTGTGTTGCAGAAACTGTTTGTCAGAAAAATAAGGCAGCCTTTGCTGGGAAGTTTCAGAAAACTGTCTCCAGTAGGAGGTAGGCCACTGAAAGACTGAGTATCTGTGGAAAGCTACAGTATAGTATATAGTATAGCATACAGTGTATATATATGCATACAGTATATACTAGATTAGTACATAGTCTGTATGCAAACAGAAAGTTCTTTGAACAGAACGCCTGAGCAAGTTTGAATGCTCACAGCTCCAGAGCCTGAACTTCTATAGTTTTCTTGTTAGGGAAGGGCTTTACCATTCCATTTATGAAGACCAGAAAATTTATTTACTCTGAAATATTAACTGCAGATTACATCAACAATTACCAAGTGATACTGGTCCAAACAGTACCCAGCTCCCGTACAGTGTCTACAAGGAAGCAAGGTGCACAAGTAATTTTTAGCTACTGTGCCCCTGCATTGTAACTGCAGCTTTGTTATGCCACAGTGAATACAAAGCCATTCCTGGTTAGCAGCCAAAAGCACCTACAAATGTTTGGAATCTTCTCCTGTCTCTTCAATTGGAGAAGAAAAAAGGAGGTGCTACATCCACAGGATGCATGTCTGAGCAGCATCTTTTTGTTCAGAACATGTTGCCTCTTACAGCTTTCAGTATATCACTCTTACCTGTCGTCTTGTCTCAAAGTCTGACCTGGAACAGCATGTAGCAGGCTGTCAGTGTCTGGGACTTTATACAGACTCAGAGTATGTCAGCATGTCCCCTAACCTGACAGATAATTGAGAATTACTTAACTGCAGGGACAGAGAGCACTAAAGAGAGTGAGGAGCCTATGGGGAAGTGACAAAACCCCTAACAGTCCTGATAAATAGGGTTTGAGCTGATACAGTGTTTGTTTATTTTCACTGGAGTAAAAGTAGGGGATATTACCTGCTTAGAGATTTTTGCTTTCTTCAGTGAGTAATAAATGGTAAAACATATAAACAAGTTCAATGTTACTTTGAAAATGAACAAGCACACAGTTCACTTTCCAATGTTCTAATGCTATGAAATCAAGCCATAAACAGGGTTGTAATGACAGCCTTTTCACTGCTTTCTTAGCTTTCATCCAGTCAGTAGGAATTTGACACACAATGAAAACAGACAAGAGTTTCCAATACAGCAGTGCAAGTATGTGACTTACCATGTTATTCAGAGTAGGTCAGATCCCAATGAACTGAAGTTTTGTGGCTTGTGTTAGCTAGGAAACCAGTGCAGTTGAACTGAATCTACAGGTCTTCCTCTCAAGTTCTGAAGTCTGCAAAAATAAGAGAAATGTGTTTCATTGTCTTAATTTTTAGTTGAAAAAAGTACCATGTAGCAGTTTTAAATGCTGTTTAGATATATTCAGGTAAATAAAACAGGAAAACGCAAAGATACTTGACAGGCCCATTCTTCTCATAGTGGTGTAAATCAAGAATAATTCAATTAAGTCTACTGGAACTAATGAAGCAGACTACAAAGCCAAAAGGAACTATGAAGATTTATACAAGCTGATAATTCCGTAGGGTCCCCATCTAAAGTTACAGGAGAATTAGACATTGCTACCTCATGTTATTTGAATGAGACCTGACTTCCACCTGAAATTCTGACTGATTTTGTATAGTGACCAGCAGGTCAGGATTCTTCTCTGTGTACTTTGCAGTGGGTCATAGTAGTTACAGAACCAGTGGGCTCAAGCACTCTTTCCCATACCTTGTAGTCCCGCACCGTCTGAACTATTAAACTCTCAGCTTATATTTCTCAATAGTGTGACTTCATTTTGCAAGCCAACATAACCCTTTATGCAAGTAAGGGCTGACTGTCATAGTGTGAGGATACATTTTCATCACTTCCATCAGGAAAGAAAAGCATACAAAAAATGCTTATGAATTGTTCTTTCAGTTATTTTTTTAATTTTATATTTAGATATCAGAATCTAGTTTTCCTTCACTCTGATATAGTTACACAGTCACATCATGAAAAATATTTGATTGACTTCAGTTACATTTATTCCTAAAAGGCACTAACTGTCAAGTGTAATTTATCTATCGTGTGCCATCTTTAATTGAAATATTTCTGGGAGAACTCCTCTGAATCAGTTGATACACTGTCAGTGAATATGGTCGCATTGACTATACCTACTCTGTGTCTGGTTATCATTCTAAGGTCATCCTTATGACCAACCTTGCCACACATTCAAAGGACTGGCTTGCAAGCAAAGTCCATCCAGAGTACTTCACTAGGAATACTGGACAGGTCATCTGTGCACAATACAGCAAACTTACTGTGGTTCCTTCTGCACCTATGTATCAAGTGCTGTATGGACACTGCAGCTCATTCCAATCTGCAGTAGCTCCAGGTAATTGTGTTCATGTTTGGTGTGCAGCAGGAAGCCTTCCTTGAAGTTCAAAATACAAGTTCAATTATAGATAGACCTCGTATTTCAATCATTCCGGTCACTCTCAATGTCTCTTTAAGAACACTTATTTTGTCGTTAAATGTAATCTGTTTTACATGTTCTTAATTTATTTCAGGCCCTAACGCATGTGTCAGAGGCCTGCTACCCTTTACTGGATGGCTGTAGGAAAAATAGGCAGAAATGGCAATCCTTAGCTGAACAACAAGAGAAGAATCTGATTAATGGAGAAAGCAATCAAGCCAAACGGAACTGAGATGCTGATTTAATACCCACAAGCTTAAATTCACGTAGAAGACATAGTAATAGAGGAGTACTGCATTTTGCTAAACACTGTATGAATTTGGCTTATGTTTTGCCACTGCTGTATTGTTTTTCCACATTTCAAGATATAGCATGTCCATGTATATGCCAAGGTTATATAGTCTGTTTCTTTTATTACATCTGATTTAGATGGAAAAAGACCTGCAAGGGTAGTTTTTGCTACCCTGTTCCACAAGAAGGTACGAGTGCAGTTACTCAATTGTCCCTGAGAGCCTATTAACTTTATAGATGTATATAGTTGTTTAGTGATCATGTTGTGGCCAGTATCTTAAAGACTACTGCATTTTGCACCTTTGTTCCTCTTCCAGTCTTGCTCTGTTATGTTATAAAAGTAATGAGCAGTCTTGCCTGTTCTCTTCCCAGAGGTTCAGAGTAAAGATTGGGACTAACTCTGGGGAAGCTAATCCAGCATATACTATGCCAACCTCTTTCAGGAGACAGAACTGGGTTCAAAGTGAAAAAGCCTCACAGTCTGTGCACCCAGTGGTCTTTTTTAATATTAGAGGAATGTCTTAGAAAATGTCTTACATTTGGAGAATTTTTTAAAAACCCTGTAAAGTACTAGGCTATTGGGATCTTAGGAGTTTTGTGGTAGAAGTGTCATAATTATCCATGAATGCTGGAAACTACTTCAAGATTGATGAAATGTCACAACGTAACTGACAGGCTGCCATGGAACAATGGCTCCTGTAGAAAGCTACAAGAAGCACACAGAGAAATGTAAACTAAACAGGATCGTTTTTATATGCTGGTTTTAACTTAATTTGGAAGTTTAATTTAACATCATCACAACCAACAGACTGAATCACAGGCAGGAAAAGTAGAAGAGAATGTGACTGCAAGAGCAAGAGATGAAAATCTGAATCAGAGTGATGCAGGAACGGCACATCTCTGGTGACTATCAATCACTGATTCTTTAGGCCAGTGCTATTATGAAATGGCTATGACCACTTCGAAGAGATGTTTATGTTAACATTTTTTTAAAAATCATTTTTAGTATTAGTTAATGTGAACAATGACTAATCACAATTTTTTAAAGGATTAGGAAAAAAAGAATACTGAAAGCAAAAGCAGCTGAGAATGCTACAGGAATTTGCCATTTGTATATGAGGCATTAACATTCCTAAGAGAAAGAAATCAAAGAACTTGCACTAGAAAAAAAACCCAACATTGATACTTCATTTAAATGAAGATGACTAATAAAAACTGCTTTTAATAGGGAACCAATTCAGGAAAATATACACATTAGACAAACACCAAAAGAACAATACAAAGAGAGTACAACTCTTTGGGTAGATAGTATTAGATCAATGTCAGCAGTCTAAGATTGGTTAGCAGCAGGTGTAACTTTGGCTGCACAGAGACAAAGAAGATGTTGGGTTCTTTTTAATCTGTAGTAATGATTTTTCAGTTATAATCAGCAATAGTATTAGGCAAAAGTAATACATTTGGGATTGTACTTTGAAGTGTGGGAATTTATTTCTGTCACAGTAATCCAGAAAACTCTAGTTGGAACTGTAATAAATTCTTTGTCCCAGCAGATTATCAATCCTTCCTTGTAAAACCTGGTCAGAAAGACAGTGAAAACAACCTCTTTTTATCAGTCTCTGCATTTACATAAGCTATACCAGAAGCTAACAAAAGATGAAGCAAATGTTTCAAAATGTTTGACGATACTAAGTTTCATAGTTGATTTTTTTTTTAAATGTAAAATAAGGTATTCTGATATTCTGCAGCATTTCTGCCAACCTAGATTTAATCAGTAACAAATAATTTATCTTAAACTTCTCTAATGACTACCAATAATATATTATTGCAGCTGAATTTGAAAACATTTTCATGCAACAGTATTTATCCTGATTTTTTTTCTCCAGATTTTCAAAAAAGTATGGAATTCAATAATAATTAAGAATTCCAGGGCTACTGTTATGCAGTGCGCCATATGTGTATTTATATGCATACACAATACAATATATGTATGTTAGTATGTTGTAGCTATGCAGAAAAATGACAGCAGCCTGCCCACCCAGCATGCACCCCCCCAAAAAAAAGTTTTTAGGTACTTTTTGGTAAATAGGAAACTTTGCTTCAAGATTTACACAGTCTTATATATTCTTTTCCTTGAATGCTTGAGATACGGAAATATAATTATTACACTAACTGATGAGATACATATTTAATATAAACATTAATAAAATATATGTATATAAAGGTGTATTCTTGCTAGTATGGTTGAGACTAGTAATTCATGGTGACAAAACAGCAAATCAACTGTGGTCATGTTACAGTGTAGTGACATATCATTTACATTAAGATCCCAGTATTTCTTTACTATATTGTGTGTTCAGCAAAGCTTTATTATGACATAGATTTATAACTACTAGAAAGGAGTGCTGGATTCATAACTTTGATGAAAATAAATGGATATGATGTTGCATTTTTTCAAAGGTTCACTTAAAATGAACACAGTTATACAGTATAAGCATCTATTTAATTACATACCTGTACACGTTTATCCCATAGAATCTCCTCCACTGTAAAGATTGGAACATACATAGAAATACAGTTCCTAGTAAATAAACCATAATACACCTGTATATGTATATAGTTCTACAAAACCAAACCCTTCAAACTACCCTTAAGAGCATAGTTTACTGTACTTCATGAAGTTTCAGAGAGTGATCAAATTGTTTATATAGTGCTTTACTCTGCCTGAAGGCACAGTCTGAGTGTGCTGGTTTTGTGTCATAGCTTTGTGTGAACTATTAGCAGAAATTGCTCATTCCTTCCATAATATAGATAGGTGACAATAAAAAAACCAAAAACAAACAAACAAGCAAGCCAGGCTGCTTTCTGCCTGAAATTCATCGCCTTCAGAATTCAACATTTTTAAACCTAGCTGGTGGACTACAGCCATGCAGCTGCCATTACTTCATCATGAGTTGTGTATCTAATTTTTTTAGTCAGGTCTCAAACATAGTCTCCCCAGCTATTGTGTAGCTCAAGCAATCAGTGTGGATTATTCAAGAAACAAACTGAAATGGAGTTTATCACTTTGTCAGTTCAGTTTTAAGTCCATTAAAGCCATTGTGAAATTTGGCATTTAAGTCTTCGGGTACAGAATTTGCCCTACTAATTTTTAATACTTGTCTCAATGAGGCTATCTAAGTTAGTATCTTACTTCTCAGACATGGACATATTTTCTTCTAAAGAAAATATACAGCACAGTTTAATGCTTGAAATTCACTGTTCTTTCTGGTTTTGTTCCCCTTGTCAAACAATTATTTGTCATATGTATTAACATACATGAAATTACTGATTAACCTTCCATCTTCTAATTAAAAATAACAGTGAGACTTTTAAGCTGTAGGTAGTACTTCTTTTCCAACACGTTAATCACAATTCCAATATTAGCTGTAGATGTCTAGGTTTTCTATTATCTCAGACAATAAAAGAAAGGAGGGGAAAGTAACGTAAAGTCGATTTTTGAGATGGTATTCATTTTTAATTAGCAGTTTAAAGTTAAGAGCAGATTACTCTTATATCTTCACAGAATACAAGTGGGCTAGTGATAGAAGTGAATAATCTATTCTATTGATGACCAGCTGATCTCTCTTTAGAAGAGAGTGAAGCGTGTTTATATGCATCACCCTCTGACAATTGCATGCATGTAAAGCTAAACTTTTGAATTCCAGTCCAATGCATTTTATCTGGCAGTAGCATTAACTGACAAAATCAGAACACCATCTAATTCACATATAAGATTTTTCAAAATTACTAGGTAACTGATTTTCTAACCCACTGTACAGAAAGATTACAAGAGTCAGATCTAGCCCCTTAAAACTAGGGGATGTTGCCTAAGTGATCTGGTTGGTGCCCCTTTCAGTTATGCATGAGAAGATAGCAGAGAGTTTTGATGGAAAAAAATGTCTCACTTGTAATAAATTAATACATTTTTAAAGGTTTTATAGAGACTTGGTATTTCAGGCAAATTTATACTTTAGCTTTAGTTAGGAGTCTTGTCTCTGTGATACTGCAGTTTCTTCTGCATGTCAAATCACATGCAGTTTACATTCCACAAGGTTTCAGCTTTATTTCACAATTCCCTGCTGTACTTCTTCAGGGATTTGCACTAATTGGCAAGATAAGCTTGAACATCAGAGCTTGAATAAAAAAAATAGTTTGGCCAGAGTATGATAAATAATGAGGAACTTTCACAGGAACAAGAAATATCACAGAACCTGGGCTCATAATTAGTGACACTTGCTAAATACAGCAAATTGTGACAGCAAGACATTTTATCTTTGTCATTGCTAGATGAATGGAAATTGCATGGGAAAATTTATTTTTTCATAAACAAGTTTGTTTCCATAGAGAAACTCATATCTAAGTACCACTGTTTGTAAATGTATATTTATGTGACAATGCTATATAATAGCTAGTTTCCACTAACTTTCACAGCACGAGCTTGTCATGCCAGGGCCTAAGGCATGCTCAAATGCCCATTTCAAGTCAAGTGTGTGATTCCCATGTACCTCAGTGGGAGTTGGATTGAGCTGTATAGAAAGTGAAAGAATGGGTCAAATACACCTTTTTACCTATAAAGAGGGACCAAACTCTTACCATTGGTAACACCTGCCTCACCTGCTCTTTGCTGTATTCAGCTATTCCTGCTGATGCCCAAGGTACCTTACAGATGTAACTGAAGTTAGAATTTGAGCCCTCTAGGTATTCATATGGCAAGACACTTGCATGTGTCTTTGAAAGAATGTAGTGTGAAATGCACTGTAAATAGTTTTAATATACATTTCTATTATAGTTTAATAAAAAAATCTTAATCACAGTCACTAGCCACTAAGTTTGTCCATTTGTATTCTTTTATCTTTTAAAAATATTTGAACAAAGATATAGTTTCTGGGCACCGTATTTTTGTACTAGGTTAAGGGGGTTACTCTGTATATTATGTTTTGCCTTTAAGCAGTATTAAAGTCTTCTGAATGTTACGTGGTCACACTCACTTCTGTCCTACGACTACTTACTGAAACTAGTTACATTACTTAAGAGAATCATTAGTCCTACTTACAGTACAACTGATAGAGAATATAGTCAACTTATTTTCTATGGTCAAACTGCTCCTTATTACTTATTTCCTCATTCCTCTCTTTGTACTGTTTTCATGCTTTTTAAAATAAAAAAGGACAATGTCAAAATTTACTGTTTGTTAATTAATATTATTAAGGTTGAATTTTCAACACCTTATTATTCCCCGATTCAAATCATTGCTTCTGTAAATTTATATTTTATAATAACTTCTCTAGGTCCCAGAAATACTGAAGAGAAAAACATCGCTATTAATACCAAGATAATTACAATATAAGAAGTACTACTAAGACAAGCCACTAGTAAAGTACTTCTCGTTTAAAAACAACAAAAATTAAATCACTGCTGCTAACCACTAGAGAGCACTGCAGCTACACTTACTCGCAGCTGTCAGAAACCAGTTTTATTTATTGAATAAATACAACCAGCAAAGACAACTGTTATACAGATCCATCTTCATTCTCTGCCCCCAAATATAAATTCCTAGGGTAGCATGTAAAAGAGATGGTAATAGTCAACACTGTAACTTCAGACAAAACTGAAAAAAATACTGTCTGTGAACTGCTGATCCTAGATGTAATTCTAACCAATGGGCGTCTTGGCAATTTCTGTTCTTTGCCTATTAGGTTATCCACAGCAACACTTCTGGCTTGACTTTTTTTAGCTCGAGGCAAAACCAAAAAGTATGTATATCCTTGACAAACAACAGACTCATTCAAAAAGTTATGAAGGGCCAGATTTAGTTCAGCACAAAACACAAGCTCTGTTTGCTTGATCCAACGGCAATTTATGAGTGCAACTGAACAACGGTCTATGTATATCTACATATATCAAGTAACCATTTGCTGTTGGGACTACAGCCTTTCCAGCCCACTCACCAACCTAGTCATGCTCCTGCTTAGTCTTCACCGGCGTACTCAATGTTTGAGTTCATCTCTGAGAAGTGGCGCAGTTTTCAACAGGAATATTGGAATACATTTCTTACCCAGCCAGGAAAATAACATAACCTTGAACAAGGGCACCTTTATCGAAGAGGTGAAAAAGAATATTACGCTCAGTCTTTCACATCTTGCACAACTAGGATGACTTTTTAACAACTGGAAAAGACAATCGCTCCTTCTGTCAGCCATATTTTGGTGACAGCTATTGATGGCATGCATTTCACATTGCCATGAAATCTCACCCATTAAGATTTTTTGGAAATAATTCAGTACAGTAGTAAGCTTTAGGATCTAAACTTATGGAATCTGACAGCCATTGAGTTTTTCAGCCCTTCAGGGGACAGCAGCATTTCTTAGCACATACAGAACTTTGGAACTTCTATTTCAGTTGAAAAATATCACAAGTTATAAACAAAGTAAGTTTTCACTTCAGTATTTAGAATTCAGAATTTCTTGAAATACCTGGCTGCATGGTTTCCTACCATTATTCCAAAGCTCTTATTTAACACAGAAATTTATTTTTACATTTCCTGAAATTCAATTGTTCTCCAAACAGCTGTATTATTTTCTGTTTTGAATCTGTACTATCAAGTAAAGATAAAATCCTCTTTCCTGCTGAAATGTAAGGATAATCAATTCACAGAATCACAGAATGATAGGGGATTGAAAGGGACCTCTGGAGATCATCTAGTCCAACCCCCCTGCCAAAGCAGGTCTACCTAGAGCAGGTTGCACAGGAACATGTCCAGAAAGGTTTTGAATGTCTCCAGAGACGGAGACTCCACCACCTCTCTGGGCAGTCTATTCCAGTGCTTTGCCACCCTCAAAGTAAAGAAGTTCCTCCTCATGTTTAGATGGAACTTCTTATGTTCCAGATTGTGCACATTTCCTCTTGTCCTGTCACTGGGCACCACTGAAAAAAGACTGGCTCCATCCTCTTGACACCTACCCTTAAAGTATTTATAAGTATTGATCAGACCCCCTCCTCAGTCATCTCTTCTCTAGACTAAAAAGACCCAAGTCCCCCAGCCTTTCCTCATAAGAGAAATGTCCTAGTCCCCTAAGCATCCTTATAGTCCTCTGCTGTACCCTCTCAAGCAGTTCCCTGTCCTTCTTTAACTGGGGAGTGCAGAACTGGACACTGTAGTCCACATGGGGCCTCACCAGGGCAGAGTAGAGGGGCAGGATGACCTCCCTCAACCTGCTGGTCACACTCTTCCTGATGCACCCCAGGATGCCCACAAGGGCACAATGCTGGCTCATGGTCATCCTGTTGTCCACCAGGACTCCCAGGTCTTTTTCCTCAGAGCTGCCCTCCAGCAGGTCAGCCCCCAACCTGTACTGGTGCATGGGGTTATTCCTCCCCAGGTGCAGCACCCTACACTCGTCCGTGTTGAACTTCATTGGGTTCCTCTCTGCCCAACTCTCCAGCCTGTCCAGGTCTCTCTGTATGGCAGCACAGCCTTCTGGTGTGTCAGCCACCCCTCTCAGTTTTGTATCATCAGCAAACTTGCTGAGGGAACATTTCATTCCTTCATCCAGGTCATTGATGAATACATTGAATATGGACCCAGTACTGACCCCTGGGGAACACCATTTGTTACGGACCTCCAACTAGATTCTGTGCCACTAATCACAACCCTCTGAGCTCTGTCTTTCAGCCAGTTTTCAATCCACCCCACTGTCCACCCATCTAAGCCACACTTCCTAGGCTTACCTATGAGGATGCTGTGGGAGACAGTGTCAAAAGCCTTGCTGAAGTCAAGGAAGACAACATCCACGACCCTCCCCTCATCTATCCATCCAGTTATGCCATGGTAGAAGGCTGATTTCCATGATTTTCAGCCATAGCCTGCTACTGCCCACCCAGTGGTTCATAATGGCTGATAAACAGATCTGTACTTTACACAGGTTTCTTTTGCTTAACCAAGTCAAAGGTCTTTAACAAAAACTAGGAGTAAAATCAATGTTTAAATCATGCCATGAGTTTACACATGACACAATCACATACAGGCATTTCTTCAGAACCCCTTTTTGTAGTAGTTAATCAAGTCACTGGCACATTGTTTTATCATATATACGGCTTTTTAGTGAAAGGGAAGTTCATTTTACTGATAAGTAGAGCGGCTAATTTGATCAAGGTCACATAGTCCATTTCTGAGCTGGAAATAGAACCAGTATCAGGCTATACATTCTGTTTTTAGAAGAGACATGGAGAAAAGAACGCTTTGTCTTGAAGCCATCTTTTCTTTTTATAGATACAAATACTTAATTTCTGAGCTGTATAGGGTGCTCTCTTGCTATTATGCTGAGCTCAGAAGAACTCTGAAGCTCAGTATTTTACAGATGAGATTAGATTTGAGTCACTAATCCAGATAATCACAATAGTCTTTGGTGGAGTTTGGAGCTATATCATTATCAAGAGCAAAAGCACACAATCAGCAAATAGCTGATACACTGATATTGAAATAAACTAAAAGTCCAGTTCAAATTTTGGAGAAACTGAAAAGACTGATGCAGACGTTCAATACTGTACAATGTTAGCTCACTGGACTATAACTCAGCCCCACCTCTTGACTATATTTCATATTCTGAACAAAAAGAAACTACTTCCCTAAATTTACCTGCTACTAAGTATTTGCCTGGAAAGTACAGGAAAATTTTATTAATATGTACATTTAAATACCTTAGATAAACCTGACACAAAGCCCTACAGGTGTGACAAGTGACAAATGGCACTAATGGCACTAATACTCAGAGATTCATATAACCTTTGCTCAAAAAGTACACTTATTTTTATTGGGAATTGTTCACTGTCACTCTCTTTTCATTGAAACTAGGCTGGATTCGACTATTCTAGGTAATCCTAAGACTCATTTGAGCATGCAGTAATGGATGAAGTAAATACCAGAGCTGTTACTGCTTTAAGAAAATCCTGCATTTTGCTTCTAGATTTTTTTAACCTGGGGCTTATTAGCTCATGCATTTCAATTCTCTCCAATAATCAACTCTCAAAAACATGCAGCACTTCATGGATCAGAGCCCTTACACAGAAATTAAGAAGGAACATCTACAGACACTAAAGAGTAAGTTTCAAGGTCCACAGCCACCACTAACTAATCAGACAAACAGATCTATGCTCACTGGAAATTTCTAAGTAGTCTTGCAAACATTGAATCTTCATGTTGAACAGATTGCATATTAGCAACATCCAGGAGATTCTCCTTGGACAAAAATAAAACCAGAAACTTAGGACAAAATCTATCTGAAGTATGATCTAATCCTGCTTTAATACAACATGCAATTGCAACATGTACTTTGAAATTATTTATCCAAGAGATGGCATTAGTTAGGCTCCATCAAACGTCTTGTTGCTAGGCCACCCATAGTTATGCTAAAGTTGGCTTTACTGGCACTAGATTATCTATTTACCCTATCAACGTGAATTTGAGTATTGTGGTTTAAATGGTTAGTAAAACTTCACAATAAGGGATCCAGGGGCCCTTAAATCATTTATGTGCCCAACGATCTTTGCAATCTATACCAAGACATGGAGGAGAATCATGCAATAGAAAACATGCATAAACCCTGTCAAATCAATTCACAACTACCTGACAGAAACCAGTTAATCTGCATGGCTTTAACAGGGTTTCATGTCTTTCATAATATATAATATAATATTTACTTAAGTATATTATGTTTATGCTGGCACCAAGCCATTAACACTCCGTGGTAAAGCTGAGTTTTACTGTTCTAGCTGATTTTAGGCAGAAGAACTTGAAATCAAGCCACAAACCAGTAAGCAGGATAGATGAATACAACCCACTGAAAAAGCATTTTGTCACCCTGATCTTTGGAATATCATTACCATCATAATACAGTGTGGTATGATTATCACAGACCAGCATGATGAGATTGGCATGACCATATAAGTTAATAATTTAGCTCCATCCACCTCATTTAAAGATCAAATTTCAAAGTTAGTAAGGTTTTCCATTTCAGTGTTCTGAAGCTGACACGTTGAAGAAAGCCATGAAACCAAGAATACACACCCTTAGCTTTCATGACTTTAACGCAACCAGCAATACTGAAAAAGAAGTATTTCAATGTACCATTTAAGCAAAAATTGTAGTTTTGAAAACCACACAAGGAAGAGGTAGACAGACGAAGGAAAAATGTTGTGGAATATTCCAACATTATATATTTATAAAACCAATTTTAATTCTAATTTTAGAAGGAAACACAGCTTTTATAGGAACTCAAACTCGGAACAAAGTGCACATCATATGATTCTAGTAAAAAACAGTTTCTAACGTAAGAAAACTGAAGTCAGATTTTAGTGCATTAACAGTCCTAAGTAAGTAGTGTAAATTGTGAAAGATTAAAAAGGTGGCTGCTTGTTCTAGCAGCAACATTCCACCAGACCTCAGAGAAGAACAGTTCTTTATGCTGCCAGCACTACACCAATGTAGAGACACCATGAAACTTATAAATATTGACCACCTTTTGAGACTCGTACTTAACTGACAGATCTGTGGGGCTGATCTGAACAGAATCCTAAGGAATCCAGGGAAAAGAAATGTTAAGGAAAGGAAAAAACTGAACAGAGATGGAACAACAAGCTTTGATGTGAAATCCAGGACCCAGGTACATGCTGCTCCCTTGCTGAAAAGGTTTGGAGTTAGCCAGTTAGCCTGACTTCTGAGGGAGACCAAAGAACAACAAGGGGGGAAAGGCAAGTTGTGAAATAACTGGCTGGAAAAGCACATCTGAGAGATCTTCCTATTAGTTGAGGACTTGCTCCAGAAGACCCTCCCCCTTTTTTAAGGTTCAGAAAAACTACTGAAGTAACTTTGATGTAGAAATTCATATTTAACATGCAGAATGTCAATATTTTGAGTTATTTTTTCAGAGGTTAAGAAGATAGATTGGATTCAAATAAGGAAAGTAATCAATAAAAATAGTTTTGTTTACTTCAGATACCTTAGCATTTCTTAAATAAAATGAATCAGCAGGTTCTTGGAGAGAATGCAGAACACATATGAAAAGTAAAAAAGCTTTCTTGAAATGCTCAAAATAAAAGTTGTTTCCTATTCATTAGATTTGATATATGACTGAAATAATGTTAATTGTTCACATTATTTCAGGCATCAGTTTTCTACTGGATACAACAGAAGTGTTTTACAAGTTGCGCTACACCAGTGTCAGAAAGAACCCTTCTGCAGAGACCGTAAAGAGAGTTAATAATTTTGTTAAGCAACAGCAAATTGGATGAACTATAATCAGACACCAGGTATTTTTGACTAGGTATATACAGTAAATAAACAACATAGATCGACAAGGACAACTACAAAGGTCAAGACACACTCCACTACAATAAAAAGAGATAATCTGATTCTAATAGAAACTCATTTTGCCCATTTTCTTATCTGGCTGAAGGGTAAGATGGGCATCCATGATTGGGACAGCACTGGGCATGGGCTATGACACTTTTTGAGACAGAGTTTGGATTCAGTATCATGCTAACACTATTCATCTTCCATTTTCTAGTTGGCTGATTTTTATTCCAGTTACAGTGGCTAGCACATCTCTACTTCCCTAAGTCAAATGTCTTGCCTGTACCTGACAATGTTCACAGTGAGATGCAGCATTTCAATTTTGTCCTTCCCAAAAAAAGTTAATTCTGGAATTCTAATATTTATATAGAGGCAGGGTTATTTTTTTTTTTTCTACAGAAATTAGGCCAACTTCTGTGCAAATTTTATTTTAGAACTTGCATGTAAGTCAAGATGATAAAAAACTGCATGCAAATGTAGAAGAAACTGCATGTAAAAAGTACATAATGAGACCTAAACAGTGGTGTTAAATAGCCGCCATTAAGAGTAAACAGCCTGAACACCTTCCATCTGGCAGGCTTCTTTACCCTGCAAGATAGGAATATAAAAAGTAGGAAGAAGAAATAACAGGTAGCTTGTACAAGGAGAGTGGCAGGCTCTGCTTCTTCCTAGACATCATTTCTAAGATGTTAAAATTTAGTAAGTAGAGCACAACCCATCATCACCTGTGTGGTAAGCAAAATCCAATTGGGCATTCAGGATTTACATTTTGAAAATAACAGATAGCAAAGGTGATGCCATCCATGTGAACAGAAGAATTGTAAGCTTAAACCTGGTAAAGACAAAAGATGGGTCAACAGTTTTGCTCAGTTTCACGTAGCACCAGTCAGTGGCGAAGGGGAGTGGGGGAAGAAGCAGCTAAATCAGGGAAGGCTCATGTCCTGCATTATCCTTGAACAGGAAAAAATCTGGGACCTATGGAAGTCAACCACATCAAGTAAATTGATTTGGCTCCGCATCTTTTTCTGTTGCAGGAATGGGTCAGATGCACATAGCATCCACTGAATGTGTTATAATGAAAAAATTAAGAATGTAGAAACTGCTCAGAATTTAAACTATATATTAAAGTGAACACATGAATACAGAATATCATCCCAATTTTCATAGCTCAGCACTAGACAAGAAGCAAGTGGATAGGTTTCTGAAACATCAGGTAAATACTCAGGAAATCCTCTGCCCTATGCTTATTATGTTGAGCAGAACAGATCTCTACCAAATTATAACAAAGTACAGATTTGTGTTTGGTTTGTTGAGTAAATATGTTTACTCCAGTTGCATAAAGACTCTCCCACAAGCATGAAGATACAACAGAGACAGAAAATGTCAAGAAACTTTCTTAGTCTAAGTATTGCTTTCACTAGATAGCTGATATTTACTACAACTCAAACATGGTGAATAAAATGAATGGATTAGCAATTCTTTTTTAAGATTAGCAATAAAGATACTGTCATGATCTGGGGGCAATAACGGACAGATTCAGCAGCAGTGTGGTCACAGTTGGAAATTTGATTAAACTACAGTAAACTTCTCCTTGAAAAGATCAATGCCTCAGTTGAGCTTTAGTCCGCCACATCATCCTGTAAATTGCTTTCAAGATAAGCCAGTACATAAATTCTCTTTGCAAAGACCTGTTACTTCAGAACAGACCTCCTACAAACAGAAACATGGCATTTAATGGTACTTGGAAAATAGACAGAAACGAAAACTATGAAAAGTTCATGGAGACGATGGGTAAGTCTTACTTTTCCAATGACTTCTACAAAAATAATAGCATTATGACTGAACACAAGCTCAAGCTATCTGTGAACTACCTTCTGGCTAGTCCTTTTATTGTTTGCTGCTCTGCCCTTGCATAGCTTACTGCATTTATTTTCAAAAGACTCCAAAGGGGGCGGAAAAGACACTGAAAAATGATCTGATTTTAATTACATTATATTAATCATAAGCAACTTAACTAATTCCAGTAGAGGAAAGAACCTCTACATCTATATTTGAGGAAAAGGCTCAGAGAATTTGAATGATAAACTTTAAGCAGAATTCTATAGCAGGAATATTAATTTGATAACATGAAAGCAGTTTAAAAATTAAACAGAGAGGAAATCATCATTCTTCAATTTTATAGAAACACAATTCAAGTAATTTTAACATACTCGAAGTTTGTGCAAACTGTGCATTATATGGATATAAACATAACCATTCCGGTTGGATAGTGTTTTGTAATATATCTGTACTGGTGAATATGGCCTCAATAAAAAGTGATGAATAAAAAAACCCCTGTGTTAGGATGCTGGAATAAACTCACTTGACCACATAAAAATCACTAGAGAGAGACAAACTCTTTTTTTTTTTTTAATTGATTTTTCTAGGTGTCAACATAATGAAAAGAAAGCTGGGAGCCCATGATAATCTGAAGATCACTATTCAACAAGATGGAAACAAATTTACTGTCAAAGAATCCAGCAACTTCCGTACCTTAGATATTGAATTCACTCTGGGAGTCGATTTTGAGTACAGTCTGGCTGATGGGACTGAACTTAATGTAAGAGACTTTCTAAATAAATATATATATTTTTATATGATAACAACTTTATGAAGTACAGGTTCAAGATGAATGACTTGTCTTCCTAGTTTTTAATTTAAATTTTACTTTTAAAGTGTGACTGTTCGGAAATGCTTGCAGCTTATGTACAAAAAGATAAGGTAATCCTAACTGTTAATTATTCAACACTGTACTGTGAAACTCAGGGTTTCACAGAGTTCCCAAAAAGCAGAGCAGGTGGCAATTTTAACACAATAAAATCCAGACAAATGCAATTTTACTTCATATAATACTCCAGTACACCACCTAGAGTGCAGAATGGGTATTTATTAGAAATTACTTTGTTGATAAAATTACTTAAAATAAGGTGTACTGAGCACTAAAAAAATCTAGCTTGACTATTATGCCATTAAACAAACTAAGGGTTTTATTATAATTTCATGTTTACAGCCTTTCCATAAGTGTCCAAAAAAGCATTATTACACTGTTTTAATCTCCTCTTACTTTTAAGCATGCAGTTTTTAAATCATATCAGGGTCATATCTATTGCAAAATTTTTTTTTTTCCCATTTTAGGGTTCTTGGAACATGGAAGGAAACAAACTTGTAGGAAAATTTACAAGAAAAGATAATGGAAAACTACTCACAGCATACAGAGAAATCGTAGGTGATGAACTTGTTCAGGTGAGTTAAGCAGTTGCTTACATATAACTTTACAATAAAATGAACTAAAAAAATTTCAAAAGCTTTTCTGAAAGTAGGAAATATTTTCTTCAAGCCAAATAACTTCATTCAGTTAAAATTCTCAAGTAATCTATCAAAATGTAGCACTTTAAAATAAAACTTGCAATCTGTGATTTTTACATTTTTCTACGCATGTGAACTGTATCTTATTAATGCATTCTGAAGTCTGCAAATACAACCTGTATCTTGAAGATTTATATAGATATATATATATACTCTATATAGATTATACTCTACATAGATGTGTTCTGACTGAGGGACCTTTTCCAAGTGTCTACCTTGTAAAATCCTCCTTACCACAGGAGCTTACTACAGGGTAATGCTGTCAATGGCTGACAAATGCCCTTTTAAAACAAAGTTTGGGGTTGGAGCAGGGAATGATGGCACAGAGGGTAAGTTTGAGATAAAAGGGAAATGTTTCACAGCTCTGAAGTAAAGCCAGAAACTGAACTGTAATGCTTTAAGATCCTCTCTGCAAAAGGGTCACCAGCTTAAAAGAATAAAAAACCCACCAACCTTATGGACAAATGTGAGATTTGAGTTATCAAAACATGCAAGTCCAACCCTTCAATGCTTTTTCATACATCTAATAAAAGCAGCCCCATAGATGAAATTTGTTAAGTAGTGATATTGGAAATATGGAACTGCAACACTTTGGGTTTTTTCTGAAGCCCCCAAAAGCTGTCCCATGGTGGTTCAAATATCTGCATAGTGAATTTATGCATATTGACAACATGCTGCTTTCCTTACTTTCCTTTCCTCAGAGCCTGCACAAGGGACTGTAGGTCCCACATGGCTACCAGTCCCAATTAATTAAATCACCACTGACCATCTTTCAATAGCATTTGTGAAATTAAAATTTTGTAATAGCAGCCACTGATTTTTGTTCTTAATTTCTTAACAGACCTACGTATATGAAGGAGTTGAAGCCAAGAGAATCTTCAAGAGGGGCTGAGTACTTTACCCAGAACCACACCAGAATCAAAAATCAATGAAAAAAGACCATTTTCCCACATATGCTCTGCTTTTTTTTTGCCTTTTATCCCCTCACAGCATATCCTAAGCTGCAAATACTTAGCTGTGTTGAAAGCATGGGCTAGTTTCTTATGTTTACTGCTTTGTCTCAAATAAAAAAAAAAAAATCCAATTACAATTTGATACAAAAGCTAAAATGTTATTTGTACCAAGTCCTACCTGAATGCGACACTGTAAAAGGCTCTAGAAACTATTTTCCATAAGCAGAGCTTAAATATCTTTTTATACTCGTTCTCAATGCAACTTAGTTTTCTTACAATAACAGCTTCTCTGTGTACTGAATATTGTGTAATAAGGATGGCAAAACCTAAAATAAACCTGACAACGCTCAAGTCGCTGAGATTATTCTACGTAAATATAAATATGGAATAAACATAAAATATGGTGTCATAATACAGCTCACTTGGAGGACTTATCTAAGATCCCATTGATATCTTCCTCATATCAATAGGAGTAATATAAAGCATATAGTGATGGTATGCAGGTATCTCACATACAGAAATTTCATTGCATTTGTTTCATTAAAAGCATGACCATGCTTTTAAACTTGCAGATTTTGAGTTGTTCCAATTGATTAGGGGTTCAAATCATTCTGTTTCAGGAAGAGTGTTAGCAGGCTCCGAGTGCGTTTCTTTCAGGACATGAATAAAAATATTGAAGTTGTCTTGACAAGACATAAAAGGATTTCAGCCTCTGTCGACTTCAAACACTTGCTTCTGATGGATGACAAATATGCACCCTGTTCTGCTCATGTTGTCCAGTCTGTAAGTTCTGTTTTCAACCCAGCCTCACCTCCCTTGAGTTGCACTGTTTCTTTAGGGTCACAGAACAACTGCCTCTTGAGGCAGCTGTATCTGTAAAGTCTCACAGCACTTTATGAGAGAATTCCCTGCTGATGGTACACAGCAAGATAATCTTCTGCCATGAACTTATTCAGGTGCTGTTACAGGTCCAATTTCAAATATCATTTCTGAGCAGGTACATTTACGTTATGATTTTAACGGGCTTCTAAAGTATCTTGAAAAATTTACTCCCCTGTTTTCTTGACTCTCCTTGACTTTCTTTTTGCTGAATCCTCTTTTAGCCTATATTTTTGTGCTCTTCAGGGTTTCATAGCTCCCTCTACTGCCAAAATGCTCTCATGATGCGAGAATACCTCGCATCATGAGAATACGAATAACAGTATTCGAGTTAGGACAGATCACTCTTCTTTATGAATTTGGATTTCCAACCCCAGATACTGATTGCATGCAACTTCCACTGTAGATATTTTTTACATAATCGTATTTCAGAGGGTAGATATGCTACATAAGGCAATTAAGAGACTACCATTTTAAACAGTCCTTCAATTTTCAATTACAAAGAAATGAAAAACTGAAAAACAAAGCCATGAAAAACTAAAAAAACTCCACAAAGAAAAGGGCCTAAAATCTAGAAAAAACACTATTAAAAAATTAGGCCTATCTCTAGGTTACTTTTTATAGCTAATACAGTCTTTAAAAGAGAGAGGGATGAAGAGTAATGGCTTGCAATAAGCTGTATGACAAATTCTTTAAGCTATGCACACTGAAAAATCAGATTAAACTGTAAGGCAGAAGCCCTAATCATCAAAGTGCTGTCACAGAGTTTGACCTTTGCTATCAGCTGCATATCATTATTGCTTCTAAATTGCACAGAGGGATATTAACAATTACAGGTCAAAGGTTTCAGGACTCTGGAGAAAGCCATTTTATTTTTTTAGAGACTTTACTGGCAGGAATGAAAGCTGTATTAAGTTTCTTGATGTGTTCTTTCTTTCTCCCCTCAGTAGGCTGACCCTTTTGGTTCAGAAAGCCAAACTCTAGCCCACACCTGATATCAATGCACTTACCTCTGCCACACCCAGCCCAGTAACACCCTGATTCATGGCTATTTTGATCTAGGTTACCAGATTCGTTTGATTGATTGGCTACAATAATCGGTAGCTTATGTTTTCTGGTCAAATTTTGAGAAATTCTTTTAGTTAATTCTGGATTACATAAAAGGCCACAAAAAAGAAAAGTAATCCAATACTTATTTAAAAAAAAATAAAAAGAAATTTAAAAAAAATTAAAAATAAAAAGACAGCTCAAAAGTATTTAGCACCTCCAAATACTGCAGACATATGTGGTCAGAACTGTACTTATAAAATAAGGAAAAATCTTTAAAGACTCAGTCTCCAATACTTGAGATAAGATGGAGGAGGGCTTCAGTAAACTAACAAGTAAGATCATTATATTAGAATGTGAATGAGAGAGCCTAGTAAATTCAACTAAGAGACTTTTATTTCCTAGGCAGGAATTTCAAAATTACATTACTTTGCAACCTAATAGGAAATTGCTTTGGGGAAACCTACAATCCACAATTCCTTTTGCTTAAATAAGGTAATATAAATGCTTATAAGACTTAAATGGGAATTATTGACATAATTTCTCTCAAAAATCTCTATTATTCTTCACTTAACACACATATGCTTAACTGATGCTTGTTATATAAAGACAAATTCATGTCCATCGTTATTTCTAAAGACAGAATGTATTAAGGAAAACAGCTACCCCTAAGTGCATGCTCATGAGAAGTTAAACTCTTACCAGATACACCTTCTCTGCATTCTGCAGCAAGTATTGCATTTTCTCTTAATATGAGGCTAAAAAGGGTTAATAGCTCCAATGAGGAAGTTTTTGTTTGGTATACTCCTAAGTTTCTGGTCACTTCTAGAAAGAGTGAAAATAATTGCACTCCTTTCAATACCAAGTGAACTGGCTGGACTGAGAGCAGTACATCCCAACTATGAGTATGGCATCAGATTGTGCAGCTTAATTTAATCTCTTATGCAGCTGTGTGTTGTGTAAATAAAGCACACAGTAGACACTATCTACGTGAACTTTTCTATGTTTGTTAGTGTCTATCAACTAACCTTCAAGGATAGGAGTCTACCTAAAAAACAATTTCTATTTTCCTAAACTTCTTCACAACCACATTTCCCGAAAGAACTTTCAGCTTCTTCCAGGGCACCATCTGCTATCCAATAAACCGCATCAGGAAGAACTCGTGAATGTTTATCTCTGCACAAGTCCCAGTACAGCTTAACAGAACCAGGCCAACCCGATGTGACAGGACTAGACCAGCAGCTTTTCCCCACGTCCCTGTCTCACCTGGCCAAGCGCCCTGAGGACTGGCTGGGCGCACCAGGAGGAGAAGCAGGGCTCCTTCTACGTCCAACATCTTTACCGCACGGCCTAGCATCGCCCTTAGCCCCTCAGCAGCGAGGGAAAGGGGCCGCTGCGGCGGGAGCCTGCCGGGAGAGCAGCGAAGGAGCAGGCGGCCAAACAATCGGCGCCGTCACCGGGTGGCGCCAGAGGCCGCCTCAGCGCCGCTCGCGCCCCAACGGTCACCAACCGCCGCCCGCGCGCTCCCTGAGGCGGCGGGGGCGGCGCCGCCGGGCGTGGCGACGGTACGTGCGCTCCGCTCTCATTGGCTGTCCACCCGGAAGAGCAGCCGGCGCCTGCGCGGCGGGAGCTGCCGTTGCGGGACCCCTGAGGAGATGGAGGCGGCGGCGCGGCGGGAGCGGCCGGACCAGCAGCGGGGCGCGGCGGCGGATGGCGGCCGGTCGCTGTCGGGACAGTCCTACTGGCTGGACCTGTGGCTCTTCGTCCTCTTCGATCTGGCGCTCTTCGTAGTCATCTACCTGCTGCCCTGAGGGCGCCGGGCCCAGGTCAGCCGCCGCCGAGGCACCGGCTCTGGGGGGGAAAAGGGGCGGCCTCGGGGTGCCCGAGGGAGGGGAGGGAGCTCGTGCCCCCAGCAGCTGGGCGGCCTGTCCTCGCTGGGCTGCCCACGGCAGCCTGGCCTCCAAAGGCCTGGAAAGCACGGAATCACAGAATTGCCGGGGTTGGAAGGGCCCTCTAGAGATCATCTGGCCCAACTCCCCAGTCAAAGCAGGGTTGCCCAGAGCACGTTACTTAGGACTGCATCCAGGCGGGTCTTGAAAATCTCCAGAGAAGGGGACTCCGCGACCTCCCTGGGCAGCCTGTTCCAGGGCTCTGTCACCTCACCCTGAAGTTCTTCCTCACATTTATAGAGTGTTTATGGGTTAGAATCAAGGGGAAGGCCAACAAGGTAGACATCATGGTGGGAGTTTATTACAGTTTATTCCAGCTTGTGCCCATTGCCCCTCATCCTGTCACTAGGAACCACTGAAGAGAGTCTGGCTCCATCATCCCTTCAATAAGGCCAAGTGTTGGGTCCTGCACTTTGGGTCACAACAACCCCAGGCCACACTACAAACTTGGGGCAGAGTGGCTGGAGAGCTGCCTGGCAGAAAAGGACCTGGGGGTGTTGGTCGACTGAACGTGAGCCAGCAGTGTGCCCAGGTGGCCAAGAAGGCCAACAGCATCCTGGCCTGTATCAGGAACAGTGTGGTGAGTAGGGCCCGAGAGGTGATCGTCCCCCTGTACTCGGCACTGGTGAGGCCCCACCTCGAGTACTGTGTCCAGTTTTGGGCCCCTTACCACAAAAAAGACATTGAGGTGCTGGAGTGGGTCCAGAGAAGGGCAACGAAGCTGGTGAGGGGTCTGGAGAGTAAGTCATATGAGGAGAGGCTGGGGGAGCTGGGGTTGTTTAGTCTGAAGAAGAGGAGGCTGAGGGGAGGCCTTATTGTGCTCTACAACTACCTGAAGGGGGGATGCAGAGAGGCGGGGGTTGGTCTCGTCTCCCAAGTTACAGGAGATAGGACAAGGGGAAATGGCCTCAAGTTGCACCAGGGGAGGCTTAGATTGGATATTAGGAAAAATTTCTTCACGGAAATGGTTATCCAGCATTGGAATAGACTGCCCAGGGAAGTGGTTGAGGCACCATCCCTGGAGGTGTTCAAAAGACGGGTTGACGTGGTCCTCAGGAATATGGTTTAGTGGTGTGTTTTTTTGGTGTGTGTGGTGTTTTCGTTTCTTTTTTGTTTTGATTTTGGTTTTTTTTGGTTTTTTTTTTTTGTCAGAGTTAGGTTGATGGTTGGACTAGATGGTCTTTAAGGTCCTTTCCAACCTAGACGATTCTATGATTTAGATACTTGTAAGCATTAATAAAGTCTCCCCTCAGCCTTCTCTTCTCCAGGCTAGAGTCTCAGCTCTCTCAGCCTTTCCTCGTAAGGGAGGTGCTCCAATCCCTTAATCATTTTATTTGCCCTACGTTGGACTCTCTCCGGTAGTTCCCTGTCTCTCTTGAACTGGGGAGCCCAGAACTAGATGCAGTGTTCTAGTTGTGGCCTCACCAGTGCAGAGTAGAGTGGGAGAATGATATCCCTTGACCTACTGGTCACACTCTTCTCTATGCAGCCCAGGATTCCATTGGCCCTCTTGGCAACAAGGGCACATTGCTGGCTTATGGATAGTTTACTATCCACCAGGACCCCCAGATCCTTTTCACGGATACCTCTGAAAAAAATATAAAGCTAATTCCAAAGAACCAGCAGTTTGGGGTTTTTGTCAAA